TTAGCCAGGGCAGCACTCAGGTAGGCAGCAAACAGTGCTAGAAAAAAACCAAGAAATAGACCAGTAACTATTTATTAGCACCTCAAGATTAGTCTACATGTTCTCTTCCCATCAGTTTTATGCCACAGATGCTATCTCTCAGATTTAAAAAAAATTAATCGTGTTTCCATTGCTTGGCAGCTTTGAAAGTGTTAAATTCCATGCAAATGCCGGTGCAGCAAAGACAGCAGATGAACTTGTTAAAAAGCGCCAGAATTGAGTTGTTATGGTTCTCTTGGGTCCCACCACCTTGCATTCCAGTAAAGGTACATTTAACAGCATAAACCATAAATGAAAATTTTACTATACGGTGAAGGCAAGTGAATCCCAGAACTCCCTCCTGGAATATTTCATCACGAGTTATTAACATAATATGAGTTTCTAGGGAGGAGCAGCATTCTGAAAACTTGAGGAAGATAGACATGCCCAGTGCCTTGCCGTCTAGGCTCTGTGAAAGGCATAACGAGGCTGGCCACTGGGAAAAGCCCAGCGCCGGCAACAGGGGAGAAGCTATTAAAATGTGCTAGTGTAATTGACCTTTGCGTCCAAACCCCTAATTTCACACTGAGAGCATCCCAATTGTCCTTGGGATTATATTAACAAGAGCTAACCTTTATTAGAGTGTTCTTGTGTGCCCAGCTGGTAGCAACACTACCATAGCTTTCGGCATTCCTGCAGTGTAAGCATTATTATTGTCTTCATTTCACACATGAGAGAACTGAGGCTCAGGGAGGTGAAATAATATGACTGTTTGGCCCGTATTTCAGTTGAAGTCCCTAATGTTTTGGAGGTGGAGATTCAAAGTGGAAAGTAGGTGAGATTAAAGAATGAATTACGCTGGCTGGTTGTGGTGGCTCATGACTGTCATCCCAGCACTTGAGGAGGCCCAGGTTGGAGGATCACTTGAGCCCAGGAGTTTGAGACCAGTCTGGATAACAAAGCAAGATCCCATCTCTACAAAAACCAAAAACATTAGCTGGTTTGGTGGCATGTGCCTGTAATCTCAGCTACTCGGGAGGCTGAGGCAGGAGGATGGCTTGAGCCCAGAAGTTTGAGGCTGCAGTGAGCTATGAGAATGCTACTGCGCTCTAGCCTGGGTGACAGAGGAAGACTTTGTCTCAACAAACAAATAAATAAAAGAGAATGAGTTAATGAGTTCTATGAAGTGGAGTGTGGGGCTATTGACGGGTTTCGTTGGTCACACCAGGCAGCTTGTTCTCTGAGGGAATAGGAGCTCATGTTATCCTTTGTTTGCTGAATCCTCATTAATTAATATACATCGTTCAACTAGAGATAATAGAGCTCAGCACTTACTGGACACTCCCTATGTGTCAGGATTATTCTCTTCATGTTCACAAATGATCGAATTTGATTCTGACAACAGCTATAGGAGTTGGCCACTGTTATCAGGCATGGAGAGTTTCAAGCAACTTGCCCGGGATTACATGGCTAACAAATGGTAGACTGGCCATCTTTCTCTGGGACTGGGCTCTTAACTAGCCTCTCAGATCTGAGGTTAGAAAGAGGGGATAAACCAAGCACCACCAAGGCCCCCAGAATAGAGGGAAGCCAGATGGTCTGAGCAGGACTCTGGGCTTGCTCTGTGAAGAATGGCAGACTCCAACTCTGTCTGTCTTCCCTGGGATGCAGAGCCAAAGAATTCATTCTCTCTCTTCTCCCACTGATATCGGCTATTTTATCAAATTTGGTGTAGCTACAGCAGGAAAACCCTCTGAAAACCTTGTGTGGGCTCCTGTGTGGCTGTAGGGCTTTCGGAGTAGGGAGAGAGGAGGAAGGATAGAAGGAAGAAGACGAAATGAGACAGGCTGTGGTGGAAGGAAGCTTTGCTTTAATGCCTGGCCACTTGGCCTGTCCTATCCGTCACTGACTGTGTGATGATGGAAAAGGGCCGGACTGTTCTGGGCTTGGATTTTTGTCACAGATAGAAAAAGCACTGGCTTCAGGAAACAGTGTGGTGTCCTGCAAAGAGCACTGCCTTTTACTGTCAGGCAGCCCTGACTTCAAGCAATGTATTTCGCTTCATTTAGCCTCATTTCTCCATCTGTGAAGTGGGGTTATTAATATCCACATACTTTATGGGGTTGGAGGGAAGATTAAATGAGACGACCTCTACCAAATTCACAGCTCTGGCTCTGTGGACACTTCGGATGGGCAATTCTTTATTGCAGGGGACTGTCCTGCGCATATCAGGGTGTTTAGCAGCATCTCTGGCCTTTACCCATTCGATGCCTTTAGCACTTCCCCCAACCTCAGGTACGACACACAAAAATGTCATGAGACATTGCCAAACGTTCCTGGGGAAGGGGAAAATCACCTTGGTTGAGAACCACCAGGGTAATGTCTGACATAAGTTAGGCATTTAAGATTTGTTTGTTGAACATGAATATTCCTTAGTAAGTTGGTAGCCAGGGATATCCTGTAATGTCTCTTCCCAGCTGGCATCCTTGATGTCCTTGTCCTCTGAGACTCTGGACAGAAGTTACAGCTCCAGGCTCTGGATGCAGCTGCTCCCCACCCAACATCCCCCTAGCAAACCAGGCCACCTGCTCTGATCCTATGTGGAGTTCATGGGCCACTGAGAGAGCCTAGAGTGGCAGAGTCTTGACTCTGAATCTTTAAACATTTCAGGACTCCTTGACTTTTCATTTCTATCATTTAGACTTTTTATTTTTAATGGGATAAGGGCCAAACCAATTTAATAATATAAATGACTACTAATTTTAAAGATGTCTGAGCATTTAGAATTTTAGTCATTGGGACATTTTTATGGAAGGAAGTAATTTATGCATAGATCTGGTTTCAGGTCATGTAAAAATGCTGGCCTATTAAGAAGTTAAAGTTAATTTAAATTAAGATATTCACTGTGACATTTATTTCCAGTGGGGCTGTTCTGCCTGATGAAGGAGCTATCAGTCCCTCCTGCTCGCACTGTCCCCTGGTTGCCTATCAATGGGCCCTACATGCAAATAAGCTTGACCATGTGTTCCAGATTTTCTAGATGGCCTCAACTTCCTATTTTCATTAAACCTATTAAAAACAGTTGTTTGTGAGACTGAGCGGGCAGATCACTTGAGCTCAGAACCAGCCTGGGCAACATAGTGCAGCCCTGTCTCTACAGCAATATACACACACACACACACACACACACACACACACACACACACACACATTAGCTGGGAATGGTGGTGCATGCCTATAGCATCAGCTACTCAGGAGGCTGAGGTGGGATGATCTCTTGAGCCTGGGAGGTTGAGGCTTCAGTGAGCTGTGATTGTGCCACTGTACTCCAGCCTGGGCAACAGATGAGACCCTGTCTCAAAACAACAACAACAATAAAATGGCCCCCAAACCCCACTTGTATGTGTTATAGACTGCTTTCCCATTTTTGTTCTATAAGTACAGCGCTGGATGCTTCCAGATCTTTCTTTAACTTGTAGAAGGTGTGTTGACTCTACCTCTGCCCCCGGGCAAGTCCTTTTACATCCCTAAGCCTTAGGCACCATAGCTACAAAATAGAGCTGGAGTTTTCAGCTTCTTAAAATGATCTAATGTAGTAATATTTAGAAAAGTATTTTGGTGAAAACCAATAAATGTCAGACATTACTATGGTGTAGTATGTCTAGAGGTTCAAAGATCCACCTAAAGAGGCTTAAAATTCCTTCACTTTAGAGTATTCTTGTGTTTCTTGAGGTTGTTAGGCCCATTGGAACTGTTGGGAGATAATGTGACTCAGTTTCCTTGAAACCAATGAGTGCACCTTGATTCATCAGAGGCTTCTGGAACAGAGAGAGGTGCAATGGTAGGAAAGGGGGTGGGGAGCTTAGAGCATGAGATCGGACTGAGGAAGACCTAGGTTGTCTCAGCCTTGTCTTTTACTACACGGTTGAGCTGCTTCACCTCTTTGACAAGGCTGGGACGTGGGGAGCTGAGTGAAGCACCTGGGTGCAAAATTTCAGGTGACCCTCACTCTCAGGGTGGGGGTGGGGTGGGGTATGTTAGTCACGGTCATCACCTGCTCGGCCCTGAGAGTAAGCACCTCCTTACATTTTGCATCCCAGATGTCTCCCTTGTCTCATCCTAGTCTTGCTCTTTGATGCAACTTTTCTCTTTGCGAAATGTGAATAGTAATACTAACCTTGAAGAATTAGTGATAGAGGTAGAGATGAGGTATTTAAATTGCCTACTTTGTGGTGGGTGTTAGGTGAATGACTACCTTCTATTCGGGCAACATGACAGTCACTATTTTTTTTAAAGTAACTACTGTGTGCTGGCCTTAGGTTGGGGTAGCAAAAAATAATTTTAAGAAAAGCTAATGAAATAGAGCAGCTTTCCCTTCACATCTTGTTTAGAGTTGGTAAAAGAAAATATATTTACAAATTATCTTAAGGAAACAAATATATGGCCATAGCTGATCCAGAACATCTTCCCTAGCAAAGACTATTTGGAAAACTTTTAATATATATTTATTAAAAAAAGATTATATAGATAATGTTCACAGAATCTATAGATATACGGAAATAGAACTTCTGTTTTAAATGTTCTCCTTCTCAAAAGGAGTCTTTTTTTGGTTTCCACTCATATAACATCAAGAAATAATGGATGTTCAAGGATGAGGACATAGAAATCTACCGAATTGTTACTGTTGATCTAATTTCCTGGGACTCTGAACGAATATATAACCAACAGGGATCATTTGAAGGGCCTGCGGTTAATGTTTGCATCCTTAAGGCTGATGGGGGCTACTGTAGATGATGTAAATCCCCCAATTCCACGTGTAAGGAATAACCTGCATAAAAGTTGCTTGGTCAGTTTGCTCCAGCCCCTGCCAGGAGAGCAGCCATCATAGGAGGCAGCCCAGGAACAACCAAACCTTCACTACCTGTCTTCATGTGACTGAGCATTGTGTACTCAGTGAAAATAGTGTTGTTTTTTGTTTTTAGATGGAGTCTCACTCTGGAGTGCAGTGGTGCCATCTCGGCTCACAGCAACTTTCACCATCTCGGTTCAAGTGAATCTCCTGCCTCAGCCTCCTGAACAGCTGGGATTACAGGTGCGTACCACCATGTCCAGCTACTAGAATTTTTGCAGGGTGGTTTTCTTTGTCTGGATAGACATAGGCATCGTCTGAGATAGTCAGGGAACTTTGTGGGCAGGACCTACCACAGGCGACGGCGAGGAGGTGTGTCTGCCAGGTGATGACGTAGAACATGCCTCCTATTGCTATGCACGCGAGACTGCTGTTGAAGCCACACAGGCCGAAGTAGATGGAGTCAAAGGGCGTTGCAATAGTGAGCGCTGTGAGAGAAGGCAGGCATCAGGGTTGAGTCTGGGGTCTTATGGGGCCCATGTGCTGGCCTTGAAACCTACCACAGCCCTCAAGGCCCAGAGCCGGTTATCTTCTTAAGTAGTTATACAAAAAAGACTTCTGGCTTTATTCTTTTTTTTTTTGAGACGGAGTTTCGCTCTTGTTACCCAGGCTGGAGAGCAATGGCGCAATCTCGGCTCACTGCAACCTCCGCCTCCTGGGTTAAGACAATTCTCCTGTCTCAGCATCCTGAGTAGCTGGGATTACAGACACGTGCCACCATGCCCAGTCAATTTTTTGTATTTTTTAGTAGAGCCGGGGTTTCACCATGTTGACCAGGATGGTCTCCATCTCTTGACCTCGTGATCCATCCGCCTCAGCATCCCAAAGTGCTGGGATTACAGGCTTGTGCCACCATGCCCAGCCTTCTGGCTTTATTCTTAAACATCTAAACAAACAAATGGCCAGAGAGCCCCTTGAATACTAGGAGTTAAGCTGGCATTTTTGAATGTTTGAAGAGATTCTTTGAGTAAGGACAGAAGTCTGATTTAAACAGCCCAGAGAATGTCCTTCCCCTGCCAAGAAAGAGAACCTCTCCTTTGTCATTGATACCTTAATTCTCTAATGGAGAACAACTCTTTATTCTTGTCATTAGAGATGATTAACATGAAAATATGCCTGGAATAAACTCCCAAATTTTAAATGTAGACTAAGGTATAAATGACTAATACCAAAACCTTTCTTGAGGGCAGCTGTGGCTCAGGGGACGATGAAGGGACTAGACCAAAAATGGAGAAACAAGGGACAACAGAGGGAGAGAGTTCACAGGAATCAGCAGGTGGAGTGTTGAAGACGAGAGTCACCATTTTATTTGAAGCCGGCCCCAGGCTCTAACCCCCTCACCCTCTAACCTCAGGGAAGTAAGGACACAGACCTGCTAGCATCCCCATGGTGGATCCAATTGCTGCATGCAGGCAAATGAGAGGCGAGGAGATGAACAGAGCTACGAGGAAGATGCCTCCAGTCCAGGGGTTATCACAGCCGTACACTTGGCCAATTCCAACGGGGATGGCTCTCAAAAGCTATAGGCACAACAGGATTACAGGCTTATTATGGAGGCAAAAGAGACAACTTGACCTTGGCTGCAAAAGACTTGCATCGAACCCTCCCCACTAATGTTTTGCAACAGATTTCCAAGATTTCTATTCAAATAGGTTAACTCTAAAAGGAACAAAAGTTTTATTATCTTAGTCTTGAGTTCTTAGAACACTGATGGATTAGGATGTTGAGTTTCCTTTATTTGGAAATATGAGTGTGAGGCATTTATCCCCCAGGGAAGAGAAACTGAAAACCTTTAAACTGAAAACCTTTCAAAGTAGAGTACTGTTCATGAGAAAAGTAATATATACCTGATCAAAGTTGGAGTTTAAAAACCCTTTGTGAATTTTTTCTTAAAGCTAAAAAGATGATTAGAAGGCAAAATTAGACAGAAAAATGGCCCTGTATGTTTTCAAGAGCAACATGTTTGGGGTGTGATTGTGTTAGTAAGGTCTGGGGGAGGAATTGGGACTGGTGTCTGCAGAAGCGGCCAGGAGAAGGTAGCATCACCCAGCATCTGCTGTTTTGATGAGTATAGCCCCGGGGTACCCTGCTGGATCAGTCCTCCATCTGTCCCTGGGTCTGGTGGGGCCTGCCTTGTGGGGAACTGCATAAGGGTCCTAGAGTTTGGAAAGAGGATCCTGGAAATGCCAGCTTCCCTAGCGACAGGGACTGTGTTTTGGAGGGTCTGGCAAAGGCCCTTGAGCAGGAAGCTGAGGAGAGGCAGTGTTCCTGGGTGAGCCTGTGTATAGGTTATGGCAAGGATGCTCTTCTCTAGAGAACTCTTGCAGCTGGGCATGGCAGGGGAGGGAGATCCTGAAGCGCTGGGGCCCTCATGCCACAGTGAGTGTGTGGGTACAGGACACAGGCGGAGTGGGTTAGGCTGTGGGCTCAGTTTCCTGTTACCCAGGACAGAGAAGAGAATGAGGGCTCTGGCCTCACCATGCAGGGCAAGGGGGACAGGCGAGAGAGTGTTGTACACAGAGGCAGCAGCATGGGCAGTTTTGTCCCCAGCCAGTTGCACCCTTCAGGGGGGCTCTCAGTAGCCACAAGAGCAGAGGAACCCGTGGGGACTCAATATTGCTGGAAAGTTTAGACACTCCCTGTGACATTCACCACTTATCAGAAACAGAAGGCTCTAATTTAAAGGTCAAAAAGACAAAATGTATGAATCATTGCCATAATCCAATTGACCAAAAAGTAACTTCTTAAAGAACAATGCCACGAAATTGATTTTTCTTTCCTGGAAGGTTGGCGGGGTTGGGGGAATTGTCTAAAGTGTTTGTACAGGATTATCCCTTTTTTCCATTTCTATAAAATTTTAAAATATCTTCTCAACTGAAATTGTGACATAGAGAATGAAATATCTAAAATTTGCATTTTCTAACACCATCTCCTCATAGCACACCACTTAGAGCAAGTTCATCTCCAGAAGATATTAATTGGGTACACTAAGAATGGGCAGCTTAAGAAGCTGAGCTGCCAGCCCAGCACCTTTTCTTGTTTCTGGTCCAAGAAGGTCCTCACACATACAAAATAATTAACAAACAAGGATGCAACTAACACAAATAGTTCTCAGCCAGGTGCAATGGTTCATGCCTGTAATTCCAGCACTTTAGGAGGCTTAGGTGGGGTGACCACTTGAGGCCAGAGGTTTGAGACCAGCCTGGGCACCATGACAAGAGCCCATCTCTACAAAAAATCTAAAGAATTAACTGGGTCTGGTGGTGCATGCCTGTAGTCCCAGAAACTCACAAGCCTGAGGCAGGAGGATCACTGGAGCCCAGGAGTTTGAAGCTGCAGTGAGCGGTGATTGTGTCATGCATTTCAGCCTGGGTGATAGAGTGAGACTCTGTCTCCAAAATGAAATGAAAGCCCCAAATCAAATAGTTTTCTTGCTAAATACTGGTGCTTCTCAGTATAAATTCAGGGCTCTTTCTACTACATCGTGGTGTTGCCTGCTGTGGAAGGTTAAGAGAAATAAGGCACCATTATTTCAGAGAGAGTTCCTTCAACAAGCCCCATGACTTTGTGGTCAGATGATGAGTTGCCAATAACGAAGTCTCAGAGTAAGCACCAGACTGTGGGGCTGTTCACGTAACGGAAAGCAGGAGGGCCTCGGAGAAAACTGGCCTGTTAGATAAGGCAGCTAATGGGCACATTTCTCCAGGCTGACTTACACTGTGAGTACAGCTTCTTATTAATCACCTTGGCTGACTTCCAGAGGTCAGGCTTATATACAGAATACTTATTTAAAAAAACTTTAAAAGCTCTGTTATATGTTTCTTAATGAAGGAACACCTGCGCTTTAAAATGTGAGTAAGCTTTGGACAGCGAAGGGAATAAACTCTGCAGGTTGGAACAGTGACTTCTTAAGCCAATAGATGGTAGCATGGTGTGTATGACTTGGACGATTCTGGGTGATTGGATGAAAGAAAATGCACACTGTAAGCTGTAAGCATCAGAAAGACTTTTTAAATATCCACAAAGAGCCCAGGCCTGGAAGTCAGGAGGCTGGAGTTCTAGTCTTGACTTTGCTCCTTCCTGATTGGCTGTAAGACCTAAGGCAGGTCTCTTAACTCAGCCTCAGTTTCTTTCTCTGTGCTATCATAGGGTGGGACCAAAACTAAGCCTTTTTGCTCTCAGAAGCAGAAAACGGTGGTAGCTCATGAGATATGTATGCAGAGTGCCTGTAACTGTGTAATTGTTAACAATGATTACTTGTGGATGTTTCTGATGTACAAGATATGCAAATGCCACTAACCTCCAGTGTGGACAGACACTGCCCTTCCTCCTTCCATGATACCTACCAAGGGCACTTGGACCTCTGACCAGGTGATGTTGGGCACAGTGGATGCAGGCTGCAGCAGCATTGTGGGGAAGAAAAGGTTGTAGTGGCCCATGGCTGCCAGGTACAAAGTCACAGTGATATTGAAGGGCAGTGTGAAGACTGGGAGGTCCCACTTGCTGAAGATGGTACCCAGGGCACTGGAGAGGATGGGGCTGGTGGCAGAAGCATGAGAGATGCTGGTTAGGAACCTGCCTGGTCCAAACACCAGACTGTGCTTCAGTGGGGGCTTCCTGTGGCTCCCTAGAGAAAAGCAGCCCGCTGGGTATTCTCTGGAACCTGATTGGCCCTGAGCAGTTTTCCCCCCAGGCCTTCTCCTCCCTGCATAGTGATAGGGTGGGGCACCCAGACTCAACTTCAGAAGGAGATATAAGGCAGTTGGTCTCAGAACTTCCTTGAGGAGTCCTATAGCTCCATCCCCAGGCATCAGGAGGAGGGAAGCTTGGGGAAGCAGAGGGGAGGGAATCACATTCTTTCAACAAATGTTTTTTGAGTGGCCATGTGCATTGGCTTTGTGGCTAGGGTGCCCTGTGTTCTCTCGGCATGGGGTAGAGCAGGCACTGGCGGCTAGCCTGTGGCTGGGTCTTCAGCCTACCCTAGGAGGTGGTTTTGGTCTGCTCAGCAGTCCCAGGGATTTAGAAAAGCTGGGGTGGGGGAGTATTGAAAAGAGTTCCAGAAACTGACAGGACCCTATAGTGTAGCTCTTAACCCATGTGGGCCTCAGTTTCTTTCTCTGGTCCCTGGCAGGATGAGACCAAAAATGCTTTAATCTTAAAGAAAAATTAATAAAGGGTGGTTGCTAATGGGATACTGTATATAGACCTAGCATGGGGCTGCCATGGTATAAACGTGGTCATAATTTCCAGTGGGCATTTCTGATGTGCAAGCCAAATACACGTTACTTCAGCCTTGCGTTTAGACAGGTGGTCATGGGGTCGGGCTGAAATGGTTGGTAGCCTTTGATAGGAACCCACAACCCCTCAAAAGCAAACTTACCAAGACATGGACATGATGATGACGGGGAGCAAAAGCCACCAGTAGTAGTCACCTTTGTCTGAGAACACAGCCATCAGCAGCCCCACCAGCACCCCGTTGTAGCCATGAAGTCCTGCCGCGATGGCCGACCTGGTGGGAGAGGGAGGGCAGGTGGAGCAGGGGCTTCCCCAGGGCCTTTGACATTTTCCTACTGAGTCAGATTCTTTTTATCTGGGGTCTGACTACACACGCCTTTAAACAGACCACCCTTCTGGGAGTGAGGAGGGAAGACCACCCTATGAATCCTTCATATTTCTCAAGACCATGTGTTGCTATGAAAAAATAACCAGGAAACAGTCATTTTTAGTTATCAGTGTCCTTGTTTTGCAGGGTTGCTGAGCTGGGAAGAGGAAGAATGGTCCCCGATGGGAGGACTTCTTGGCTGCATGCTCGGACTCTGAGCCTCTGGCACTTACTTGTCCTGACTCAGGATGAGGGCTGTCAAAGTGGACACGATGGTACCCAGGCAGCCCGAGATGGCCCACCAGGGGTTCTGGACGAAGAGGCCGAGGATGATGAGGATGCCGCTGAGGGGGTTGTTCACAAACATCACCTGAGATGTGCCTCGGAGGACCCAGTCAAGGAACTGGAACACTGGGGACTTGTCTGAAATGGAACCGGGGCAGGATGTAGGCAGGAGCTCACTGTGGGAGGCCCTAAGTGGGCAGGCAGAGGGTGTGAGGGAATCTAGATATCCAACGTGCGTTTGCAGGAAGCCACCTGCTGTCGCCTGCCAGCAAAGACAGTAAACAAAGAAGCCAAGAGAGCATCTGACTGCCTAGAAAACTCTTGAGACCCATTGCCAGCTGGATGTGACCTTCAGGTGGTTTTTCTGGCAGGGGAGATTAGGAACCTTGAGCACTCTCTGCCCCCTATGATGGAACCATGAATTTTCAAGAAAATGCTCTTGCTGCATAGAGGGCATTAAACCCATGGCCTGAGCTCTGGAAAGACTGCCAAAGGGCACCTATTGGCATGGTAGACACAGCTCTCCCATGAGCCATCCAGATGGTATTCGTTTAGAATGTTGGCTCTAGAATCCCAATGTGAAAAACACCCATCTGCAATATTCAGATGGGATATTTGAGACAGCAGAACTGTTGTGTTCAGAATTAAGAGCTCATGAGTTCACACTCTTATGGATCGCTCTTTATATTCCAAGAGGCTGTATGTCTGTTTTAATGGCAAAACCCCCAGCTTCCAGGAAAGACTACAGTCACAGAGCTCAGTCTGGTCTAAGTCTAGTCTATAGGGAACCCCCATGGCAATGGGTTTTCTGGGGATGGCTGGAGGTGACCTTTTTAGGGTGAGGGTCAGGGTTGCTTTCATAGATTTTACCTTTGAGTCCCTCTCCACACTCCTTCATCTCTCCTGTGATGTAGCTGAGGGCTTTGCTGACCCTTTTCCCACCGGCAGCCACAGAACTCCGAAGCCAGGATGTCTTGGAAGTGTTTGTTTCCACTTTTATCTCAGAGCTCTCCTCCATGGTGTCCAGATTCTGTCCAGGACAGAGATAGGCAGGAGTCCCCCACATTGGGTGGTTCTTACACTGAGAATTCATGTTTGTGGTCACTCAGGGACCACGTAAGATTTTCATTTGAATTCTTCACTGAATTGCTATTTAACCTTCTGTTTCTGTAGATTAGACTGTCTTTTGTTTGACACATTACCTCATCTGATAGGTTTACTACTGTGAGGTACAATAAGGTAACATGCTTATTCTCATTTTGTGGATGAGGATTCCAGCATGTGGGGGTTCTCATTTTCAAAGGTCAAACAGGAGAACTGAGATTAACCACAGATTTTTAGTCTTTTTTTTTTTTTAAACATAACTCTTACTGTACTATACTCTTTACAGAAGAAATAGCTTTCTCTCTAGCATGTCTAGTCTTTAAGATGTAATGTTTATAAACATAAGGGTATGAAATTGAACATGTAAAAAGATTCTGTTTTGGAAAATGGGCACCAGCTTATTTCCTAAATGCTTGAATACTGGGTTTAAAGGAAGCCTGTTAAGAAATAAGTCAAATAAAAGGAATATGAAAAGTCACAAAGGAAACCACAAAAAAGACGTTTTTGTCCCAGGTAATTTACATTTTGGAAATATGAACTCTAGGAAAGTTCGCCTCAATTGGAGAGCATTGTTTTCGGCTCTCAGCTCCTTCATCCGCTGTGGGCTGTGTGACTGCAGGGCGCTGTCCCTGATTCAGAGCCCTCAGTACTCACCAGCAGCTCGACCGTGGGCTTCCGGTATTGATAGGGAAACGGGTCTTTCGTTTGTCTCTCCTGATGTTCGCCTTTCCCAAACACTGGAGTTAGAAGGAAAGAGCATCATCACTTAGGACGCCTCTACTCTGGCACCTCAGAGGCTCATGTCCTGTGAGTCTCAAGAGGTGTCAGACTATGCAGTATTCCCTGTTCCTCCTGATGAGGCCATCACCGAGCCTTGCAGCTGGAAGGCTCTTTTGTTCTTTTACTGGTCATGGATGCATCTGGGCCCTTCCTTTGGGGAAAAAAACTATACATACATATCAACAGAGCATTTTATAAGGAATTTAGGGAGCTCAGAGATTTCACTAACTTTTAATTAAGAAGCCCTCATTTAGCTCAACCTTGATATTTTTTAGATGAGGAAACAGTAGCCTGGAAGGACAGTGACTTATGTGTGATCTCTGAATCCGGGGTTCTTTCTCCTGTTCCACGTGGAGAACTTGCAGGGAAACAAAAAACAGCAACAACAAAAAAACAAACTTGGATGTTGGTGAAGCCCTTCATTTCCTGTTCACAAAGTATGAAGCTGCCTGAGCCATGAGCCACGCACGATCTGTGTTTGAATTTGGCCATGGCTCTCCTTACCTGAATAACCTCAGGCTGTTCTTTTTTTAAAGGTATTTTAGTAGCAATGGCTGGTTGGATAAGGACAAGAGACATCCATGTAATCACTTGAAGCAGATTTTGGTAAGCCCTTGTAATTCTAGAAAACGCTTATGATGTGTCTCTAAACATATATTTTTTTTGTTATTACAGGTAATTTATGTTTAGAGACGACCAATTTCAGTAGGGTTTTATGCATCATGAAAGATGTTCAGGCCCTTGGAAGTTTTGGCCTTGATGCTTTGGTTCCCTCCTGTGGTCAAGTGTGAGAATAGCAGGCTGGGCTCTGACTACACTGTGTTTTCAGACTGAATTGCCTGATGCCCCCCACCCCGTTCTGCACTCACAAGTTGTTGGGGTGTCAAAACACTAGAAGGGATGCATCAGAGACACTGTGTTCCCACTTGTGAAGGAGTAGGGACTGCAGATAACAGTGTGGTTTGGAGGTGACACCATTCAGGAGAAACACATTCATTTTGAAAGCTTTGAAATGAAGAGTAGGAAGCAGAGAGGATCCCTTGAACTTGGAGGCCTGTGTGTGATATGCCCACTGACCCGCTGCTTCTGTCTGAAGCTCCTCTCTGACTGCTGGTGCCGCAGGGTGCTCTACCATGCTCTCTCCGACCCCAGGCCCTATCCTGTGATGATATTAGGAGGAAGTTCTTAAGCCTTTGAGGCAAACCATGGTCTCTTCCACACTCTGCTGGGGTCCCCTGTCAAAGACAAACTCCTGAGCTGCAGGGGCCCTTGAGACAGGCAGTGTTCTCGGTAATGCCCTCCCCACCCTGTGTATTTTCCCATAATCCATTCCTCTGGGCTGGCTGACTTTTGGTATAAAATGATGCGACTTGGAGGAACTGGAGGAGGAAGGTCTCAGGCATCTTCTGGGGAGCATGTGATACTGCACTAACTCGGGAATCACTTTTATTCCCAGCAATGGCCCTAGCCAGCTGTGTGACGCTGTGCAATTCTGTCCCCCTCTCTGGGGGTTGCGGGCCTCTCTGGGATTAGATTGCCCCTCTGTCCTGGATCTTCACAAGGCTGCTCCAACCTTGCAGCTGGTTGAGGAATTCCCCCTAGACTCCTGTTGGCAACCACACGTTCTCAGCTTCCACACCCAAGTTTCTGGCTTCTCCACCTGTTCAGCTTTAGCAGCCTTGGATACCCTCTTCCTGGCCTTTGGCATCCCTTTCCCCACCATGGGCCTCTACCATTGCCAAAGGTGGGAACTTTCCATCTCTGGCCTCCTAGACCAATGGTTTTTGATGTGATGGCAAGTTAGAATCTCCTGGAGAGCTTTAAAAGCTCCAGATGCCCACCCAGGCTGCTCCACAGATGTATTAAATGAGTCACTGGAGATGGGATCCCAGTGATTCTAATGTGCAGCCAAGTTGAGACCCCAGAAGCTCACTGCCTGTCCCAGCGCCAGTCTCTCCAAGACCCAGGGGACATCCAGACACATCCAGAGAACTGTGGCTTTGGTCAGGGGGCAGAGGTCAGGTGTGAGAGGTCAAGTCTGACTCCAGTGGGTCTCCCCACCACCCTGTGAAGTAGGTATTGCCATTGTCCCTGTTTTGTTATAGACTAGGAAGGCAGGGATCCAAGTGTGAGTGGGAGGAAATGCACACCTTTGCTCCTCCTCCGAATGGATGACCACTCGATGTGAAATACACTCCTGTGCTTGGACAGCACAGCCTCCAAGCCCTCCTCCACCTTTGGGCCTGCTGTGGGTGGCTGCTCCCCACCTCCACCTAGCCAGGGGCAAAACAAGACAGGTCAGTGTCCCACTTGGTCTGCACCTGAGAGAGCCAAGCAGAGAGCCAGGAAAAATCACACACATGCTGGGAAGGAGAGAGCAGTGAAGCCTGAAGCTGGAGTAGTAATTGCATTGGTCCCTGCATAAAACACCTAGCTTCTCTATTTCTCCCATGAAAACTTCTGCTTTCTCTCCCCACAGTAACCTAGGTTATAACCTGCCAAAAGATGGATGAGCAGTTTGCCTTCTTTCTCTAGCAAGGAAGCATTCTAAGACCCACTTAAGTGCAACTTGAGCTGGCATGAGCAGGTGGCAGCCAGCATCTTGGACTTCATCTGTGGCAGGGAGTCCCAAAGCTGCCTGCATGTTAGCATCACCCAGGTGCTTTAAAAGAAATGCCTCAGTGAATTTTGGGACTTCCCCCAAGATGGCCGAATAGGAACAGCTTCGGCCCATGGTTCCAGCTAGAGCGACCCAGAAGGCCAGTGATCTCCACATTTCCAACTGAGCTCTTAAGGGAGCAACAGATCTTCCAGAATAGCACTTGAGCTCTGAAAACGGACAGATGGCCTCTTCAAGTGGCTCCCTGATTCCCATTTATCCTGACTGGGAGACACCTCTTACAGAAGAGCACAGGCTGACATCTGACGGGTACACTTCTGGGATGAAGCTACCAGAGGAAGGAACAGGCAGCAATCTTTGCTGTTCTTCAGCTCCTGTGGGTGATTGCCAAGCAAGCAGGGTTTGGAGTGGACCTCCAGCAAACTCCAACAGACCTGCAGCAGAGTGGCCTGTTAGAAGGAAAACTTAAAAAAAAAAAAAGCAGAAATAGTTTCAACATCAACAGAAAAGATGTTCACTCAGAGATTCCATCCAAAAGTCACC